TCCCAAGACACAAGCCTATTAAAGACAGGCTAACTCTCTTGTGGGGATTTCAAAGTGAAACCTTTGCTGGTGTATCACTCTGAAAATCCCAGTGTGCTCAAGAAAAACAGTGTTGTCAAGAGTAAATTGTTTGTGATGTGGAAGGCTAACAGTAGAGCATGGGTCACTAGGGAAATTTTCCTGGAATGGTTCAACGAAGTATTTGGCCCGAGTGTAAAATACCTCCTGGATAATAAATCGCCACGCCAGTGCCTCCTGTTAATGGACAATGCTCCTGCTCATCCTCCAGACTTGGAAGACCAATTGTCTAAGGAATTCAGTTTTGTAACAGTCAAGTTCTTGCCTCCTAACACCACTCCTCTCGTCCAACCCATGGAACAATAGATCATTGCAAACTTCAAAAAACTATACATCAAAGCAATGTTTCAAAGGTGTTTTGACATAACCTTGGACTCTGAATTGACCCTAAGAGAGTTCTGGAAGAATCATTTCAATATCTTCCACTGCATAGGCCTTATAGATAAGGCTTGGCAGGGACTTCTTCTAGGACGATGAACTCTGCTTGGGGAAAATTGTGGCCATATTGTGTCCAAAAGAAGGATTTTGAAGGGCTTGAGGCTGACCCTGTCGACCCTACACCTGTTGTGCAATCAATTGTGGCATTGGGGAATTCCATGGGGCTGGATGTGAGTGGCAACATGTGGAAGAGTTGGTGAATGACCACAATGAAGAGTTAACCACTGATGAGCTGCAAGAGCTTCCTTCATCTGCAACAGCAACAGAACACAGTTGAGGAACTTGCTTCAGAGGAGGAGGAAGAAATGTAGAAGAAGGTGCCTTCTTTAAAGATTAAGGAGATTTGTGAAATGTGGACTAAAGTGCATTCATTTGTGGAAGAACTTCACCCTGAGAAAGCTGTTGCAATCCATGCTGGCGACTTTTACAATGACAATGCCATGTCCCATTATAGGCAAATCTTCAAGACATGCCAGAAACAGAGCATTCTGGACAAATATTTTGTGTGACAGGGGTCCAATGACTCTCAAGCTGATCCTAGTGGCATTAAAAAACAAAGGAGGGAAGTGTCCCCAGATAAGGACTTGGTACCGAGAGTCCTTTTGGAGGGGGATTCCCCTTCCAAAGAATAACTTCTCTTCCCTCTCCCCTCATCCCTGTCTTCCTTCCAGCTATAAAAGCCTTCAATAAAGGTAAGTGTCATGTGTAATGTTCATTCTTTTGTGCATGTAAATCTATCTTTAAGGTAAAAATAAATTTTTTTGTTGATACTTCTGGGTGTCTGGAACGGATTAATTCCATTTACATTATTCCTTATGGGGAAGATGGTTTCGGTTTTGGCCGATTTCAGTTTTGGCTGATGGCTCTGGAACGGATTAAAAACAAAAACCGAGGGTCCACTATATTTTTAAATGTTTATACATTAGTGTCTGTATATTGTAATAACATAATAGAGGAAATCAGCTATAATATACATTATTTAGAAACACACACTGGTCAGAGAGCCCGTTGTAAGTCAGAGTCGTCAGTAAACGGGCACGTCACTAAGCAAGAAGAGGCTGTTTATACAAAGTACTTACAGGCCCCAGCAATGTTTTAGAGATGCTGGAGTACTATATGAAACTCCTTGAAGCATAGTGTAAGACAAGTGTCACTCTAGTACTGACAGTGCAAAACTCTAATATTGATGATCGTGCACTGCTCCAGTGAACCTTGGGTTTATTTGCTCTTACTGTTCCACAAACATGTCTGTCTGTCTGTCTAATTCTGTCTCTGTTTAACTCTCTCTGCTTAACTGTCCTTCTCTCTGCCTGTATGCCCATCTTCCTGTCTCTCTGCTTGTCTTTCTGTCTCAGAGCCACTCGTGAACAAACAGGTATGACACAGGATGCAGAATTGTTACGTCTGATTCCTGAACAAATGAAAATGCATATTACTTGACAGTATAGTATCCTGAATTTTTTAGGTTATCCTAGGCAATTTACACTATGTATGATAACTGTACTTATGTGGGTGCCTGTGAGATACACAGACAGATACAGACAGAAATAAAGACAACCAAAATCAATCAGCCACCCAGCCAGTCAGCCAAACACGTATTACATGCTCCAGAATCATTTCTCTTTACTTGGGGTAATGGTTATAGGACATTCTGGCAGAATGACACTACCAGTGGTATCAAAATTTAAAGGATGTGGCACAATGTTACACATGGGTTATTATCAAGGTTTTTAATAGTTCCTCAACCACTTGTGACCATATCCATCTCAAAGTCACTAAAGTTGGGGTCAACATCACTTTCCTCTTAAAAAGGGAGTGTTAATACAACATGGCATCAGTCAATCTTTGGTGTTTGCCAAGCTGTTTGCTCAATTGAGCTGGTGCTCCCACAAGGTACTAAGTGGGACAAGATTTTTTTAATACTGAGTACACCGAGTGTTAAGACCTATTCTATACTAACCAGGCATCTCGGGCCAATCATGCAAAATTTGGAGACAGGAAAACTAAAATACTGATCTACATTTCGAGTGCAAGCAGTAAGAATGTAGATCTACGTTTGGACAGTTAAAGGGTTAAACCAAAAACATGGTCGCAGTTTTTTCTCATTATGCACTGCGTGCTGCAGGATTTTTTATATGGTGCAAAATTACAGCACAGACCCATTCTCTCATATCTAGGCCCTAATTTACTGTTCACAGCTTATCTGAGTGAGCCAAGTTCATGGCGTTGTATGACAGGACTGACACTGGCTTCAAAGCACCAATGGGACCAACCCTGAAAGGTTTAAAAAACCAACGTGAATCAATGAACAATAATCTACAAAATGAAAGCAAAATGGAGAATGCAGACAAATTTTTCATTACCTTTGAAGGCAACAAAGATCACATAACTGACATAAGTACTCATCTCATAGAAATAAAAAGAAATAGAAAACATGCCCATGCATACATCAACTGGATGAGCACTCAAGTATCTTTTAGAGAAGGCTTAGCTCTAGGTAAAATTCCAGACACAGCTCCTTTGCATAAAAAAGGGGAAGTAGAGTGCTAGCCAAAAATTACATTCCAGTAGTCCTAACATCACATATCATAAGTTTTGGAAAGCATTTTATAGAACAGCACAACTTGCGCAACCTACTCCAGCATGGATTTAGAGTGGGAAAATCATGTTTGTCACACTACTAAACCATCAGGACAGAATTGTGGAAGCACTGGAAGAAAAACTAAAATGCAGATAAATACATAGATTTCATAAGGGCATTTGATAAATGTGATCATGAGGCAATAGGCATAATGCGGAAAGTAGCCAAATAGGTATTAAACTTTCTGACAAATAGACAACAAAGAGGTAGTAGTAAACAGCAAAATGAAGCATTAGCAAAGTATAAAGCTCAGTGCCCCAAGGAATAGTCCTGACACCTTCACAGCCTCTTATAGAAGATAAAAACAATCACTAGTTTCGAATCATTATTTGCGAGTGATACCAAAATAAGCATGAAAATCACCTTGAAAAAAAGACATACAAAATCACATGATAATATAAGCAGAATCTTCCAGTGAGCAATCGAGAGAATATTGTGAATTTCAATGGTGACAAGTCCAACTGGTCATATATAGAAAGCATGAAGAACTCAAAAGGGTCACTATACACAAAACACAATCACCACCAAAGGAATTATGGGAAGGACCTGAATGTAATAATGTCTGCTTACTATTCTTTTAAGGAATATAATAAAGCAAATGTCACAAAAGTCAGGAAAATGACAGGTTAGATTGTGAGAACTTTTAAAAGGACAATAGTGCTAATGATGACACCATTCAAATCACTTGTGCCCTCTCACTTAAGAGTACTGTTCAGCTCTGACACTTCCGTTCTGGACAGGAAAGGTATCAGAGCAGAAACAGATGCACAGCTCATTTGCAGGAAGCACAAAGCATTACAGGGAACACCTTGAAGCCCTATCTATCTATTTGCTGGAGCAGAGGAGAGAGATACATGATAATATATACATGGAAGGTACTTGAGGGCCTAAGCCCAAATCTACACATTGCCACAAAAATATACATGAGAAAGCGAGAGGCAAGAAAATGGAAAACAAACCCAGTGAAAAGCAGAAACATTATGGGCACAATAAGAGAACAATGTATCAACAACCAATGACTCAGACTACTTAACATCCCTGTCCCACTCTCCTATACATACTGGCTCTCTCACTGCTGTGTGTTAATGTGACCTGTAAATGGTTCAAGTCAGACTGAAACATCATCATAAGCTTTTCTCTCGTATGTGCAGGTTATTTATGTATCAGAAACACTGCTAGAACAACTGTATAAGTCATCAAGAGAAAACTCAACAAGTACCTCTGCCAAGTGCCAGATCAACCAGGCTGTGATGGATGTGTGTGCCAGCAGGCCACTAATAGCAAAAACCTGGTTGATCAGGTAAGCACCAGACACTTCTGGCCCAGGCCCAAGCCATGGGAGTAGGAAACCTCTCAAAACCCACCAAAGGCATATCAAAGGTATCAGCAAACACAGACTGGGCATGTGTGGCAATTTACTTATGTTAAAGAATTTGTTTAATCATTACTTGATTGAACTGTTCAAAGATTTAACTACATCAAATGTGGGACTTTCTTTTTTTTAGTCAATAATGACATTCTTGTTCTTTCATTCTACACTGTTTAGTGTTACAATAAAAGAGTAGGCAAAAATATCTTTTGCTTCTAGATTTTTGAAGGTAAAAAAATAAAGCAATTAGGGATCCACCATTTTTTAATTATGCATACACACATATTATAAAGTCCAGTTCTTTGCACTTACTCCAAAATGCCTCCAGCAATCTGATTCCTCTGAAATATGATCAGTCTAGTGAAAAATATAAAGGCGAGAAGGCCAGAAGAGGTACAGACAACTACGTATGCCTCTTTTAGCCTTCAGAAAGTTGTTTCTAGAAGCAATTCATACAAATCTAGGTCAACTTACCCTGAGCAGTAGAGGTGTGTTGTCTGGGGCTAACTCCAAAAGACGTTGGCAGGCTCGAGGAGTCCAATGATGTCCACTGTGTGGCGGAACATTGTACAGGCGACACCGCAAAGCCTAACAAAAACAGATGGTGTAAATGCTGGAGCATTTACTTGAAATTTTGAATACAATGTCAAACCATGGAATATATATAATATATATAAAGTAGGCTTTAGACAGGGATGTGTAATGTCACCATGGTTATTTAATATATTCACTGATGGGGTTCTCAAAGAAGTAAATGCTAGGGTGTTGGGGAGAGGGGTGGAATTAAATTATGGGAAAACAATTACAAAATGGGACTTGATGCAGTTACTTTCTGCTGATGATACTGTGCTTATGGGTGATTCTAAAGAAAAGTTGCAAAGGTTAGTGGACGAGATTGGGAGGGTGTGTAAAGGGAGAAAGTTGAAAGTGAACATAGATAAGAGTAAGGTGATGAGGGTATCAAATGATTCAGAAAAAAGAAAAACTGGATATCACATTGGAGAGAGGGAGTATGGAAGAAGTGAATGTTTTCAGATATTTGGGAGTTGATGTGTCAGCAGATGGGTTTATGAAGGATGAGGTTAACCAGTGAACTGATAAAGGAAAAAGGTGAGTGGTGCATTGAGATATATGTGGAGACAAAAAACATTATCTATGGAGGCAAAGAAGGGAATGTATGAAAGTATAGTGGTACAACACTCTTATATGAGTGTGAAGCTTGGGTTGTAAATGCTGCAGCAAGGAGGTGCTTGGAGGCAGTGGAGATGTCCTAAGGTGGTGTAAATATTATGCAGAGACTTCAGAGTGTGGAAATTAGGAGGAGGTGTGGAGTTACTAAAAGTATTAGTCAAGAAGGCTGAAGAGGGGTTGTTGAGGTGGTTTGGCCATTTAGAAAGAATGGAACAAAGCAGAATGACTTGGAGAGCATATAAATCTGATAGGGAAGGAAGGCGGGGTAGGGGCTGACCTTGAAAAGGCTGGAGGGAGGGGTGAGGGGCTTGAACTTCCAGCAACCATGCGTGAGCATGTTAGATATGAGTGAATGGAGACAAGTGGTTTTTGGGACCTGACAAACTGTTGGAGAGTGAGCAGGGTAATATTCTGTGAAGGGATTCAAGGAAACTGGTTAGCTAGACTTAAGTCCTAGAAATGGGAAGTACAATGCCTGCACTTTATAGGAAGAGTTTGGGATACTGGCAGTTTGGAGGGACTTCTAAACTCTCACATCTGAGTGTTGAATGATGATGAAAGTATTTTTCTTCCCTTATGGGTTTTTCTTTCCGAGTCACCCTGCCTCGGTGGGAAATGGCTATATTATAAAAAAAAAAAAAAAAAAAAAGAAAGAGAGAAAAAGAGAAAAAGAGAAAAAGAGAAGAGAGAGAGAGAGAGAGAGAGAGACGAGGAGAGGAGAGAGAAGAGAGGAGGGGAGAGAGAGAAAGAGAGAGAGAGAGAAAGGAGAGAGAGAAAGAGAGAGAAAGAGAGAGAAAGAGAGAGAAAGAAGAGAGAGAGGAAAGAGAAGAGAGAGAAAGAGAGAGAAAGAGAGAGAAGAGAGAGAGAAAGAGAGAAGAGAGAGAGAGAGAGGAGAGGGAGAGAGAGAGAGAGAGAGAGAGAGAGAGGAGAGAGAGAGAGGAGAGAAAAGAGAGAGAGAGAGAGAGAGAGTGCGAGTGTGAAAGAGTGAGAGTGAGAAGAGTGTGAGAGTGAGTGTGTGCAAGTGTGAGAGAGAGAGTGAGAGTGAGAAAGAGAAAAAGAAAGAGAAAAAAGAGAGAGAGAGAGAGAGAGAGAGAGAGAGAGAGAGTGAGAGAGACAGAGAGAGACAGAGAGAGAGAGAGAGAGAGAGAGAGAGAGAGAGAGAGAGAGAGAGAGAGAGAGAGAGAGAGAGAGAGAGAGAGGACAGGGGGAGGAGAAAAGACAGAGAGAGAGAGAGAGACAGAGAGACAAAAGAACAGAGAGAGAGAGAGGAGAGAGAGGAGAGAGAGAGAGGGGAGGACAGACAGAGAGACAGAGACAGAGACAGAGAGAGAGAGAGAGAGAGAGAGAGAGACAGCGTGAAACAAGCTTTTATGCCACAAGACGGGCAGAAAGCAGTAACTTCACTCTGGCTGTACCCTTCTCCAGAACATCACTCCATCTGAGATCATATATACCCAGGATGACTCGAGTATGGAACACATTCGTACAGCATAATGATGTCAACGAGATAAAGACAATTGATCACATGAAAATGCTGGCCCACAGATGGCTCCAACTTCATCCTGTTCCCTACTTGTATGTCTCATAACAATTAAAATGCTTTCAAATGAGCTGATGTAGGCAACAGCTCTTAGCTTGCCAATAAAGCTAGAGATCCTTAACCTCGTCAAACCCTGTGTAAAGAGAGTGTGCATGTGTGTGTGTGTGTGTATGTGTGTGTATGTGTGTGTGTGTGTGTATGTGTGTGTGTGTGTGTGTGTGTGTGTAATGTGTGTGTGTGTGTGTGAATGTGTGTGTGTGTGTGTGTGTGTGTTGTGTGTGTGTGTGTGTGTGTGTGTGTGTGTGTGTGTGTGTGTGTGTGTGTGTGTGTGTGTGTGGGGTGTGTGTGTGTGTGTGTGTATGTGTGTGTGTGTGTCAGTGTGTGTGTGTGTGTGTACTCCCCTAGTTGTACTCACCTAGTTGAGGTTGCGGGGGTCGAGTCCGAGCTCCTGGCCCCGCCTCTTCATGATCGCTACTAGGTCACTCTCCCCGAGCCGTGAGCTTTATCATACCTCTGCTTAAAGCTATGTATGGATCCTGCCTCCACTACATCGCTTCCCAAACTATTCCACTTACTGACTACTCTGTGGCTGAAGAAATACTTCCTAACACCCCTGTGATTCATCTGTGTCTTTAGCTTCCAACTGTGTCCCCTTGTTGCTGTGTCCAAACTCTGGAACATCCTGTCTTTGTCCACCTTGTCAATTCCCCTCAGTATTTTGTATGTCGTTATCATGTCCCCCTATCTCTCCTGTCCTCAGTGTCGTCAGGTTGATTTCCCTTAACCTCTCCTCGTAGGACATACTCTTAGCTCTGGGATAGTCTTGTTGCAAACCTTTGCACTTTCTCTAGTTTCTTTACGTGCTTGGCTAGGTGTGGGTTCCAAACTGGTGCCGCATACTCCAATATGGGCCTAACGTATACGGTGTACAGGGTCCTGAACGATTCCTTATTAAGATGTCGGAATGCTGTTCTGAGGTTTGCTAGGCGCCATATGCTGCAGCAGTTATTTGGTTGATGTGCGCTTCAGGAGATGTGCCTGGTGTTATACTCACCCCAAGATCTTTTTCCTTGAGTGAGGTTTGTAGTCTCTGACCCCCTAGACTGTACTCCGTCTGCGGCCTTCTTTGCCCTTCCCCAATCTTCATGACTTTGCACTTGGTGGGATTGAACTCCAGGAGCCAATTGTGGACCAGGTCTGCAGCCTGTCCAGATCCCTTTGTAGTTCTGCCTGGTCTTCGATCGAGTGTATTCTTCTCATCAACTTCACGTCATCTGCAAACAGGACACTCAGAGTCTATTCCTTCCGTCATGTCGTTCACAAATCCCAGAAACAGCACGGCCCTAGGACTGACCCTGCGGGAACCCGTGGTCACAGGTGCCCACTCTGACACCTCGCCCGTACCATGACTCGTGCTGTCTTCCTGACAAGTATTCCCTGATCCATTGTAGTGGCTTCCCTGTTATCCTGCTTGGTCTCCAGTTTTTGCACCGTCTCTTGTGGGGAAACTGTGTAAACCCCTTCTTGCAGTCCAAGAAATGCATCACCCACCCCTCTCTCTCTTGTCTTACTGCTGTCACCATGTCATAGAACCCCAGTAGGTTTGTTACACAGGATTTCCCGTCCCTGAAACCATGTGGCTGCTGTTGATGAGATCATTCCTTTCTAGGTGTTCCACCACTCTTTCCTGAGATTTTTCTCCATGATTTGCATACTATACATGTAAAGTGACATGGTCTGTAGTTTAAGCTTCATGTCTGTCTCCTTTTTTAAAGATTGGGACTATTTGCTGTTTCCATGCCTCAGGCATCTCCCTGTTTCGATGATGTATTGAATTGTTGTTAAGGGTACACATAGTGCCTCTGCTCCCTCTCTCTTACCCATGGGGAGATGTTATTGGCCCCATTGCCTTTGAGGTATCAGCTCACTAAGAAGCCTCTTCACTTCTTCCTCGGTTGTGTGCACTGTGCCCAGCACTTGGTGGTGTGCCCCACCTTCCGGCTTTCTGGAGCCCCTTCTGTCTCCTCTGTGAACACTTCTTTGAATCTCTTGTTGAGTTCTTCACTACTTCACGGTCATTTCCTGTTGTCTCTCCTCCTTCCTTCCTTAGCCTGATTACCTGGTCCTTGACTGTTGTTTTCCTCCTGATGTGGCTGTACAACAGTTTCGGGTCAGATTTGGCTTTCGTGCTATGTCATTTTCATATTGTTTTGGGCCTCCCTTCTTATCTGTGCATATTCGTTTCTGGCTCTTCGATGTTTTTCTTATTTCCCCGGGTTCCTTTGCCTTCTATATTTCTTCCATTCCTAGCACACTTTGGGTTTTTTCCTCCCTGCACCTTTGGGTTAAACCTGGCTTTATCTGGGTTTTTATTACTCCCGTTACCCTTGGGTACAAACCTCTCCTCAGCCTCCTTGCATTTTTGCTACATTTTGTGTCATGAGTGTTGTGGTGTGTGTGTCAGTGAGTGTGTGTGGTGTGTGTGTCAGTGTGTGTGTGTGTTTCAGTGTGTGTTTGGGTGTCAGTGTGTGTGTGTGTGTGTGTGTGTGTGTGTGTGTGTGTGTGTGTGTGTGTGTGTGTGTGTGTGTGTGTGTGTGTGTTGTGTGTGTGTGAGTGTTGTGTGAGTGGTGGTGTGAGTGTGTGTGTGTGTGTGTTGTGAGTGAGTGAGTGTGTGTGAGTGTGTGTACTCACCTATTTGTACTCACCTATTTGTGGTTGCAGGGGTCAAGTCATAGCTCCTGGCCCCGCCTCTTCACTGATTGCTACTAGGTCCTCTCTATCCCTGCCCCATGAGCTCTATCATACCTCGCCTTAAAACTATGTATGGTCCCTGCCTCCCCCACATCACTTTCTAGGC